TAGGGAGCAAGAAAACACAAGTTTGAGCGACTCTGCTAGTATAAGATCAAGGAAGAAAAAAGGAATGAGGAGGCTACCACATACGTTGGCTAGGGCCGATGATTTTTAATAATAATTTTTTTTATATTTTTTTATGTTTTAATAATGAGTCATTTATAAACATTTGTTATATTTTGAAGTTTTATATTTGAAGAGGATCAAATCATTTTGATTAGAAAGTCAAAGATGAAAAAATTGATTTGAATGAACTTGATCTAATGATTTGAAAAAACCTGATTTGAATGAACCGTATCCAAAACTGTTTGAATATGAAAAAACTCAAACTTGAACTTTGATCAAAATGTGAAAAGAAAATGCTAAAGTAGTTATATGTCACATAAAATCTAAAAATTATTTAAAAAAATCTGAATTTAAAATAGTTCTAAGTAAAAAAAAAAAAACTCGAATATAAAAAATTTGAATTCCAAATGACACAAGCTTGATGTGATTGAACAAAAACTTATCAATATATTTAAGAGTAATAATAATTCAGATCAAATTAAATTAAAATTTTTTAATAATATATAATATTATAAAATTTTAAAATTCAATTCTAATTCAAATCAATTTTTTTAAAAATCGATTTAAATTAAATTTTATTATTTTGATTTAATTTTTTTTATTTTTTAATTCAAAATTTAACTCGAAACTAACATATAATTTAATAACTAAATTTAATTTAAATTAAATAAAAAATTGAACTAAATATTATAATTTTAAATCAATTTTTAAATTTTTATTTTTCTCATCCTTTCGCCTGTCACCTCCATAATTAAATTTGATTATCTTGAATAAATTAAATAATTAAATTTATATATTATGATTATTTAAGAATGACGCTCGCCACATGCATATATAATTTTTTATCTTAAATTTATTATTATTATTTTTGCTTAAATAGATGATAGTATTAATTAATTATTGTGTATGTATCTTTTACTTGAACAATATTTAATTAATTGTTGTCTTTATAAAGAATTACCTTTTCATTCGATGCACAAGCTGAATGTCGTAACTTTAAGTAGGCGATCTGCAGTTGAATTGTTCAAAACCTTTATTAAAGAAAGAGCTTTTAGTCTACCCTAAAAAAGTCTAAGAGGTAAGGCTTGGCAGCGATCCATGCAAGGAAGAAAACGAAGGAAAAAAAGGTGCCAAGCAAGGCAAAGCAGTACCAATACCAATGCTTTCCCTTCCTCTCTCTTTCAATCCGGGAAGAGGAAATCCCTCTGCTTGTATGGTATGAATTCAGTTCCTTTGCTACGGCCACTCTGTCTTTTTCATTCCCCATTTCAATGCACCAATCAATGTGCTACGCTGGCAAAAAAGATGTCAGAAACAGTCCAATTCCAAGAAGAATCATGCGTGAAGTTTCATTGTTGAATGAAAAGGAATTCAAGGGCTTCATTGATCGGGAAATGCGTGCACTTCTTTGATTGTCGTTAATGTTCCTTCCCAAAAGTTTAAGGCGACCCTTTTCGCTTCTCTTCAGCTACTTCCACCATTGGGATTGGTCAAACTCATTCACTTATTGCTCGATCCCGAACCTATTATGTTTTTGTAAACGAGTACCTTTTCATTTGTATCTAAAAAAAGGAAATATGGTTTCTTTAAAATTAAACACAAAACAACTTAGGATAAAATTCTCACTCCTCCGATTATTTGTCAGATTTTTTCTATAACAATATATTTCTAATTTTTTTCTATAACATTTTATTACAATGTAATCTAAAAGGACGATAATCTTATTTTATGTTGATGAGCTCAATGGACTGATTTTAACAAACAAAACATAAACAGTCACTCAATGTGATTGTATCCACGAAATTTATAATTTGCAATCCTTTTGCACATTTAATAAATAATAAAATATGAATGAGAGAGAATAAAATTAAAGAAAAAAGGATATTTATAACGCTTTTCTTGAATGATAAATAATCTTATTCAACACGGCATCTATGAGGCGATTTGTGGGGTCTTCTTTTTTGCAATTGCAGTGATTACGTTTTAGAATTGCGTCATAGCTCATAGGATCTGGCATGGCATGAGTACTCGAAGAAAAAAAAAAGGCCAGTCATTGATTCTAAATCATTAATAAGGCTGCTCCACGCTGGCCCCTCCCCCTTGCTTTTCCGTCTACTAGACTAGATTTTTGTCATTTTACTTTTTCGAAAAGGACAAATGGACTTTATTAATTAGTTAAAAGAGAATTTCAACTTAAAATGATTAAGTTATAATTTAAATCTTGAATAATTTACGAAGAGATTTTAAGATTAAATTCTCTTGATTTAAATTATTTTAAAATGAAGCTCTTACTTTTCAACGTGTATAACTTGTTTTTAAGATTGAGGAAAAAATCAAGAAAATCAAAATTGATTTGAAATTAAAATATTGAACTTTGATTAAATTAGTTTTTTATTCAATCTAAATTGGATATTGAATATTTAAACTCTATTTCGAATTTTTTTATCATAAAATAAAAAAATTAAAAATATTTTAAATGAAATGAATTGTATTTTTATTAGTTTTAATATAAACTTTTAAATTTGGATAAAAATAATTATTTTATATTTAAATTTATTTAAATAAATTAAAAATAAAAATAAAAAAATAATGAATCAAATTGAATAGATAAAATTTAATTTAAATTAATTTAATTTCAAAAAAAATTAATTTAGATTTAAATCAAAATTTTAAATTTTAAGTTAAGCCAAATTCAATCTATTATCATAACACCCTTATTTACTTCGTCAATATTATCGATTAATTTTATAATGGGTACTGTTTTATTTATCCCAACTCCCCTAAGTAATACGAATTTTCCTCTGTAATGAGTTAAAAGATCAATTATTTTAATTCTTGTTTGGAAAATAAACAATTTTATATTTAATTGTATGGAAGCGGGCACAATTTTACAAATAAGAGATGTTATATGAGTATTTACGATACCGTAATTATCACCGGACTTTCCACGTTAAAAATTCACCCTAGGGTCAGTCAACCAATTGAAACACTTAAAAAGTTTTTGTGTCAGTCACTTCCATTTCTATCGTTAGACCATTTTGCTGTTCACAGTTATAGTTTTGAGTGTAAATTTAGATGGACGATAAAATTAATTTTATTGAATTTAAAAATAATGATAAAAATAAAATTAATTATTATAATAATAAAATTAAAATTAATGATGAAAATATATATATGTATATAAATACAACTAATGATTAATTTTAATATTTTATTTTAGAAGGATCAACTAAAATTATATATTTTTTCATTCACTATTATTCAGATTTGAAAATAAATGTCAGATACGTTATGTATCCAACATAATGTGCATTTATTTCAAAGATTTTTTTTTCAAATTCGGACTAAACAACCTCCATATCTACATTTATCTTATATATGTCAAACATAAGTATTTTAAGGAAAATAAAAAATCTAACAATTAACATAATTCATTTGAGATTTTATCAAACTAAAAAAAAAAAAAAGAGAGAGAGAGAAAAATATCATAAAGAAGTGCAATAGGTAAAAAGAAAAACAACGCACTTACATTTTTTATACTTGTTGAAAACTTAATTTTTTTAAAATTTACATGAATATGACTTAATATCTATTATTTTAATGAATTTGTGAATAATAAATGTGGATATTATAACAGATAATGATATGATTTTAATATGTGTTAATTATAATATAAAATTAAGATAAAGATAAAAAAAAAGTAAAATTAATAAATAATAAATTTAATGTGAGAATCAATTAAATTTTAATATAATTTATATATATAAAATAATTATAATATATAATATTATTAAAAGGTTGAAAAATACTCGGAACAATTGCTTATGCAATTGCCCTTAAACACGCACTCAGATAAAGAACCACGCCAAATTTCATGTCTCAAACGATCAAATCGATTAGTTGATAACTATGCAATTGCTTTTCTTTTAATTGATGTCTCGTACTAGCTTACTTTATCACGTGAATCACGTTGCACTCTAAACTCTAAATCTTCAATTTTAAAATTTTATTTACCAGAATCTGAGACCCTAACCTTCAGATTGAGCCCCTAATGCTTTTTATTTTATACTCTTCTACTCCTCTATGGTGCTTTTTAACTCCTCGATTGATTGTCCTTGCCAACGGTCTAAAAGGCTTTAAAAAAAGGGTGGGGAGGGGGGTTTTGGGGGAGGGCGGCTTGGCCGCACATGTTCAGTAGGGTCTACCACTTAACGTAACAGTGATGGTAAAATGAAATTTGATAAAAAATAAATATTAAGGATAATAAATTAAAATTTTTTAAAAAAATTAAAATTATTTAATAAATATTAAGGATATATAATAAAAATTTTAAATTATTGAATATTTATAAAATTATTAAAAAATTAAAAATTTATTTTTATAAATAATAATTTTCTTTATAAATAAGTAAAAATTAATAAAAATAATAGTTTATTATATAATAATATTTTTTTGTTTATTTATTAATTCATAATATAATAATAGATTTTATTTATTATAATAAATTAATAAAATTATTTTATAATTTTTAAATAAAAATAGAAAAAAGGAAAAGTTAAACTATATATAAAATGAAGGACAAAAAGAAAAAAAAAAAAAAAAGGATGAAGACCAGCGTTTATTCACCGGAGTCAAAACCATTAGTGAACAAAAACAGCTTAAATTCTTCAAACATGTTACTGGTTGAAATCCAAATGAGTGTTAAAAGCCAATTGGCACAAAGTTTTTCGGTACCCGTACCTCCACTGAACATGCAATTGAATCTAAACTTACCCTAAATCGATTATTTTCTAATAATTACTACACCTCACAAATAACATTAATTTGTTTGATTGACAATACCTCTCCACCCTTAACTAGTAAAACAACATAAATCTTAGGCATCTTGTTAAAATTAAAAAAAAAAAAAAAAAACTATAAAGAACAACATTATTCCATGTAGATGATATATTCAATTCCATATGCTAAAAAGTTGATTAACTAAGAGGAATCAATGAATAAAAAACAAAAAAAGGACAAATTTGAACTAAAGGCTTCATGAGAATAACAAACCAACTACACACTACTTCAACCAGAACCAGAATAATGCTAGAAACTGAGAAATCTGAGTGCACACTATATCTTCAATAGTACAGAAATGAAGTAGGCACAATCGTAATTAATTTGTTTAACAGTGTCCATTCAAGTTTCTGTAAGAAGCCATCAAATGTTCCACAAATTCATTAATACACTTATCCGAGCTCCCTCCTTCAGTGATTGCTTTCTTAGCTGACTCCCTCCACCTGTTGGCGTTTCTCTTCAACTCTTCGCTTCTCTCCCCTTCCATTACTTTCTTCAAGCACTTCATCAGCTCTTCTTTCCTCACAACTCCCTTCTCATCCTCTTTGGCCCTCACTCCTATCTCCCAAATCTCCTCCACAAATTTTGCATCGGTCAATTGATCAGTCCATTTGGGCACACCAACCATTGGCACGCCAAGGCTCAGCCCTTCCAGGGTTGAGTTCCACCCACAGTGTGTCACAAAGCAGCCTACGGCTGGATGTGCCAGCATTTCTAGTTGGTTACACCATGTTACGACCATGCCCTTTTCTTGAGTTGAGTCTACGAACCATTTGGGCAGTTTTTTCTGTTCTAACTCTCTTACAACCCACAGGAAATGCAAATTGCTTTCCTTTAAGCCCCAGGCGATCTCTTCCATTTCCTCCTCTGTTAATGAAATCATGCTTCCAAAAGCAACATAGACCACGGATCCAGATGGCTTTGTTTCTAGCCATTCCATGCACTCTTCGCTAAGTGGCTTCCATAAACTTGAGCCATAACCTCTGTCACCTTTGATCCTTTCATCCAAGTAAGCAGATGGTACCATCGGGCCAATCAACTTCGCTGGCCAGAGCTCTGATACGGCCATTGCTTCCTACAAGAAAATTGTAAATAAAAATATCAGCCCAAAAACGAAACCAATTTAACTTAAACCAACATTAATATCTTTGTTATATATAAAATATTCTTTGAAATGCTAACGTATAACAAAATTAAGCAGCCTACATGATGATGATGATGATGATGATGATGATGATGATCATGCTCGTACGTAATTAGTAATTTAGTACTGATCTAAACGTACCTTTCCTTCCAGGTCTTCAAAGGTGTTATCAAAAATCCAATCAGCTTTATTCAAATTCGAAAATTGACTCAATTTCATGGCCAAGTACGCAGGATAACTATCTGGGAACCTCAGAAAAGTGGGCAAGTCACGAAAGTTCAAAGGAGGAAGTCCTGGTAATATTAGGGGTGCTCTGTCAGGAGTAAGTGGCAGAGCAAGCAGGCCACCATGAATATGAGCAAAGATGCTACACACCGCGGCAGAATTGGTAAAGAATGCAGCTCCATAAATCCCATGCTGCTTTGCCACATCAAGAGCCCATGGCAGAAACGAGTCATACACTATACAATTAACAGGGGTGCTAGAGTTTCTGAACTTTTGGATCAGTTCAGAAAGGGTTCTGGAGCCATTGTCCCAGAATGACTTAAGGTAAAAATCTACATTTCCCGCTTGAGAAAAGCCACCTTGATCGAACCCATCAGAGATGGACTCGACCCCAATATGAGCCGCACTTATGGACTTGACGGTGTAATGGGTTGTGGCTAGCGTTGCCTTGACACCTTTAGAGGCTAAACGTTTCGCAAATTGGAGAAGAGGGTTTATGTGGCCTTGGCTAGGGTACGGCAGTACTACTACGTGCCCTTTAAACCGTTTATCTTCCATTTTTTGTTTTCCTTTGCTAAAGGGTCTCTGATGAATTTGAAGGCTGCTTGCGAGCAAGGGCGTCTTTTATAGAGCAAATTGAGAAGGATCTGGCGTGATGAGAGGTCGGCAATTGACAGGCCAAGTGGATCATATTTCTACGGACAGAACCGACAAAAAAAACAGGCAAAAGTTTTTTTCGTCCGAAATTGATTTTCTAGTAGCATGCGAACGGTTATATTTAAATTATATCTTATACTTAGAAAGATTATACAATTATAAATATAAATATAGTATAAAAAATAAAAAATAAAATGATTTTAAAATTTAAAAATAATTACATATGAATTTAATAAAATTAAAAAATTTATTTTGTATTTTAATATCAATACAAATTATGACATAATTTTTGTATAAAATATAATATCAATATATAAATTTTAATTTTTTCATAATATAAATACATGAATTATCATATTTAATTTAAATAATGCCTTTAACATTTGTGATAAGAAAATTATCAAAAAATATATTTTAGGTAATTATATAAACTAAAATTTATCATATATAAAAATTTAAAATATTCATTATCATTGAAAAAATTACAAAAAATTGGGCTTATATCCTTTTTTTTTTTACTTTTAATTTTTATAATGCTTTTTTTATTTTATTTTAAGTTAAATTAATTTTTAATAAAAATATAAAAGAATCAATAATTAGTATGAAAAATTAAGTTAAGAAAGCATTTAGGTGGCGTTTAGTTTTAAGGGAATCCATAAATTTTTTTTTCGAAATTTTGATGGTGGGTATTTGATTTTCAGGTTTGATTCAGGCTAGTTTGATTATGGAGAAAAATGTCAGATTCTCAATAGTACCAAAGTCTCGGAATCATAAACCCACATCTCCCTGTGATATTCTAAGATTTCAAGGGAAAAAGTTATTTTATTTCAAAATTTGACCTAAATAAAAAATAACGAAATAGCTATTACCCTTTTGAAAAGTATGTTTAGAAGTGATTGAAACTCAATTGTAAGTTTTTATACAAAAAATATTTTTATATTGTAATTAAGGCATTTGGCATGAAGAAACGTCTTAAATAATTCTTTTATATTTTTATAAATGAATTATTTAAGGTTTTTTTGTATAGAAAAATACATTAAATAATCCATTTATATTTGTATAAAAAGATTATTTAAGGTATTTTTATACAAAAAATACCTTAAATAATCCATTTATATCTTTATAAAAAGATTATTTTAAGCGTTTTTTGTATATAATCCTTTTATACAGAAAATGCTTCAAATAATCTTTTTATATTTTAAGATTTAAGATTTATGACTAATATTTTTATAAAATGATTATTTAAGGCATTTTTTGTACATAAATGTCTTAAATAATATTTTTATAAATTGAATGATAATTATTAAATGAACCAGAGTATAAAAAATAAAAATACTATTTAAGGCATTTCTATACAAAAAACGCCTAAGATAATCTTTTTATTTTTTTATAAAAAAATATTTAAGGTATTTTCTGTACATAAATATCTTAAATGATCATTTTATAAATAAATTAAAAGAACATTTTTAATTTTTTCTATGATATAAAAAAAGTGACAAACACATTAATTGATCTTTTTTCTAATAATTTTTTTTATCAATTGCTATACCAAAAAAGTGTTAAATGCCTAAATTGATGATATTTTATAAATAAAAATAATAATTAAATATAATATTTGTATTCTTTTACTATTAAAGTCATCATTTTGTCATTTGAATATTTATTATTAATAAAATAAAATGAAAAATTACCATCATATATGTCAAAGAGATTATAGTAATTATATAAGAATTAATTTACGTGAATTTATCTCAATCAAACGAGTGAATCTAAACACGAAATACCTTAAAAATAAAAAAAAAAAACTTTAGATATCGCACTTTCTCATGAATCACACTTACTCTTAGAATTCAAAATTCTACGAACCAAACGTCTTCTTAAAATAATATTTTTCAAAAAATAAAAATGTGATTTAGAAAAATTTTATTTTATATATTTTTTCGATTTCAAATATAAATATATTTTAAAAATAAAATAACATATCGTGTGTGACTTTGTTTTTTGTTTGAATTTGTGATGTAAGAATTTTGATTAACAATGTAGTCAATGGTGCAATTTGTCTAATAAAATTAAATTTTAACTATTTATTATAAACTTTTATTTTAAAGTAGGGATTCATTTATGTTAGTGTAATACTTATGTTTTTGTTATTATTACATTAAAATTTAATTTATGATTGATTTAAATTAAATAATATTTTTAATTTTAGCGATTTTAATATAATGATAAAAATATAAAATTTATATTAATGTAAATTGATTTTATTTATTTTTTATTTTATAGATGTGAATGTGACATAAGCTATAAAGTTATAAGGTAAAAATGAATATTTAATTTATCGTTTTTTTAATGACGCATAGCATTAAAAAGTATTTTTCGTTTTGAGAAAATAGATTGTTTTGAAACATTTTAAAATAACAGGAAGAAAATTTATGTAAAAGTATTGTAATTAATTTATGAAATTTAGTTCCTCCAAAGATGAAACACGAAAGGTAACGTCAACATGATTCGCTAATGGCTTACGCACATAGTGATCTTCTCAGATCGATCCTGTGGAAATGGCATTACCACCACCACAAAATTTGTTCCATCCGCATATGTGCCATACCACTTGCATTTTCTATTCATTTATTTATATGATTTAAATCTATTACTCCCACATTTATCAGCCACGCGTTAGATTCATTAACAGACGTTCCTCGCCAATGCTAGCCACTACTAGTACCTAAAAATTGACCAATTTTCCTGTCATTCTAATTATTGTCGGAGCTCAAAAGAAAGAGAAAATGTTGTTGGAATTGTAATTATAATTCTTTTGCCTCCCATTCTCTCCGTCGAACAAAACGTCGGATAATAGAAGTCGGCCAACTATTAGTTTAGTATTTTTTAGAAAGAAAAAAATGCGAGGAATAATTTTTGAATTATAATAAAATATTTAATATAATATATAAATTTTAAAAAATTTTAATATAATATTTAAATTATGATTTTATTATCTAATTTAATATTTAAAGAGTTATTTATATGTTATTTATTATTTTTTAATTAATTATGTTAAAAATAAATATCATATTAATTAATAAATTTATAATTTAAATATTATATTAAAAATTTTATAATTTAAATGTCATATTAAATATTTCACTACAATTAAAAAATCATTTATAACATTAATACTTATAAAAAATTTACCGATTTATTGTTTGTTTTGGGAGTTCAATTAAAAGATTTTTATTGTATTAATATGTACATTATTATATTTTATAACTGAATCCATAAATTATGTGTTGCTATTTTTTTTATATTTGAAATTATGGAGTTTGATTTTTAATTATTGAAAATAATAATTTAATATTTTTTCATCAAATCATATGAGTGTTAATAATATTTCTTATTTTTCATTTATGTTTCGAAAACACATTAATTTTTTGTTGTGTTGTTTTCAAGTTCAAAAAGCAAAGAACAAAAAGAAACAAAGAATATTTTGGAGAGAGAAAAAAAAAGAGAATTCTAGAAAAAAAGATGATGAAGGAGGGAGAAATAGAAAAAGATGACGATTTGGAGAAAAATAAGAAGAGAAAAAAAGAGAATAAAAAGTGTTACGGCTAAAAGTAGAGAAAAGAGAATTGGATTTGAATGACGAGCACAGTTCCACAATTTGATTTGATTTGATTTAGTGTTCTATAAATTTATTTTTTATTTTTATTTTTTGGTTTAATGTTGATTTTTTTATCATTTCATTTTATTAAATCTTTATCGTCTTTTTTATGTTCTTTATTTTTTCATATAAAATCTTTCATTTTTGTTATTTATGTTATGTAATGGATTGTATTATTTTTTTTAAAGCTTGCTAACAAATATTTAAGCAGTTCAAAAGGAAAAAGAGAAAGAATTAAAAGTACTAAAGAATGAAAGCAAAACAAAGGAAGATATATTCTTGATAAGTAAAATATTGATAATTTGTATATTTATAATAATTTTATAAAAAAATTAAGTGTCCCAATTTATGTAGATACAAAAAATACTAAATATATTTTTTTTTGTTAAATTTATATATGATTTTTATTAAAATTTAAACTGTGTTATATTTGTATTATTTTTTATGTTGTTTTCAATCATATAATTGTGTCGTATTTTAAATTATCAAATATAAGAGATAAAAAAACAAATCAAAACTAGCATCGTAAGTAGACCTACTCATGGGGATAGCGTGTCCAAAATTTTAAAAGATTTGGACATAAATATTAAGCCTGTTAAATGAGTTTAGACAATAAATGAGGTCTGATAAAAAATTAAGGCTTGACTTGGATTTCACCATTCAAGGCCCATGCTTAACTCGGTCTAGTTTGAAAGTTAAAAAATATTTTTATCATAATGGGACAAAACCCATTTGCTTTTTTTTTTTCAACAATAGATAAGGACCATTTGTTTTATTACTTATAATATGATAAAGCCTATTTTTTTCTTTATACAAAATAATAATCCAATTTTAAATTATATTCAACAAAATTAAGTTGGATCCAAGCCTAAATGACTTATAAATTCAATTAAAATTAATTAAATTAGTTAAATTAATAATTTACAAAAAAAAAAAACTTATCATAACGGTTTTTGGAGCTATTAAATGAATTTGAAAATAACAAAAAGGAGTTGTCATCAATCTTTTTTGGCTAAGTATGATTGGCCACCTATTAAAACTTATCTTTTTAATAAAATCTTAAAATTAATTAAAACTGTTTCAAAAAGATAATTTTTAAGTCTGTGAAACAATTTGGGTTTAAGAGTCGATTATGCGTAGGGAATGATTAGCATCCCCATAGCGCTTGTTAAAATTGATACCAATTAATTATGTGTCATCTTTCAATTTTGACAAAAAAGATCTTAAATTTGGTATTTAAAATTAATTTTCTTAAATTTTTTATTGTAGTAAAAACATGTTTTTATGTTTTTAGCTTGGTTTAAAAAAATAAATAGGAACCTTGTTTATT